TTTTTTTTTTTTTAAACACTGTATACTTCCTTAGTGACTCAGTCCTATCAGTGACAAAAGCCACGTATAGGGGTGATATGAAGTTTTGGCTACATTTTGGGATGGAATATTCAGTTCCATCTTCATAAGTATGCATTATTAACCACATGTGCAGAACCAGTATACTCACAACCCAAGAGGAGGAAGTAAAATCCCTAAAATCAACGCATCATTCCACTGGCTTCAAATAAAATGTCCATGTGAGGGATTATGCTCATATATGCAGAGATCAAAGCTTTTTTCTTTGAAAAATTCCCTAAACTACTGAGACCAGTTGACTCAGCAAAAAGAAAATGAGTTCAGCCAGCGATATTAAACTCTAGTATTTCAACATTTTCACAGAACCTGTATTAGGAGTGCTTTTACATACACAATCCTATGTGATCCTATCTGTTCTGAGTTTGTATTTGAAGCTCACAATTACCCAAACGTGTGTGCAACATGGGTATTACTGAGCCACTTTACAGATGAGGAAATTGAGGTTAATAGGGTTTAAAGAGCTTGCTCAAGGTCAGGCAGCTAGTAAACCGCAGAGCCAGCACCTGAACCAAAGTCTTTGGACTACAAGTTACGTACTTTTTCTGCTGTCCACACCTCCCCCTTGGCAGAGAGAACCTGTCAGTGGTGATATTCTAGATTTTCTTACTACCAGGTCTGCTTCTGAAGGTTAGAACCTATGAGGCTTAAGACGTCATATCTTTTGCTCAGTGCTACATGCACGCGTGTCTGTTGTTTCCTTGGGTTTCACCACTGCCTATAAAGTCTATGAAGGCCATGAGTAGTATTTGTGAATTGGGACTAACATTAGGTTTTCGGCTTTTCAAACAACATTTATTGCAGCTTCTCTTTGCATCCAGCTTGACAGGGACATAGTGTGGGGCTGGCATTTCGCAGTGACTCTTGTTTCTCTTCTCTGTGTGCTCTGGGGTGCAGCGAAGATATTACTTTTCAGACTCATTGCCCTTTTACCCACTGTCCCTTCCACTGCTCCCACTTTTATTGTTTCAGGTTTTGAAAGAGTTGTAAAATTGCTCAAACATTAGAGTTTACTCAGGGAATGGATTTGACAGATAGGTGGTCTGGTGACTTCAGCCAAACCTGCCTCAGAACCACGGTTGATTTAGGAGAGGTGATTCAGCACGAAGGAAACCAGCTAGCCTCAGGCACCGATGGAATGGGGCACGGCCAGGCTGGTACTGTTGGCTGCTTGTTCTTCCTGAACCCGAGAGGCCACTGGGCATCCTGCTAAAGCTCAGCTGGCTGGTGCAGAGGCCTGACCAGTAGAAGGCAGTCATTATTTAACTTTAATCTGATCATGAAAAATTCAGCTTACTCGCAAGTACTAGCCCCCACAACAGGTAGATGGTCGAATATATTTGAATAATCAGGCTTTCCAAACAGAAGCAAAATACACTCCCATTGATGTATAAAATATAAACAGAACCTGTCTGTCTTTTCATCATAGATACGCGAGTTTGGAGTGTCCAGTACACAAGGTCAGAATGCTGCTCCTCTGTCATGCTCTTGCTGTAGCTGTTGTCCAGATCTTTATCTTCTCGGAACACTGGGCATTTGCCAAGAACATCAATTTCTACAATGTGAGGCCTCCTCTCGACCGTAAGTAGTGGTCGCCATCCTGGTTCATGCCTGCGCGGTCAGGGTGTCCATGTGAAGCCCTCTTTTCCATCTCCCCTAACTCTGCCTTTTTCTGGAACATTTGGGTTATACCTAGAATAAAACAGAAAATCTTCATTACTTCTATGGGTAAGTGTATAGATACAGAAATTTTCTCCACTTCTTCAAAATGGTTTGGCTCCCTGCTAAACTCTTAAAATGTTTTTGTTTTAAAAAATTCTTTTGAATACTTTCCCTAATCATGGCTTAGGAGAGAAAATTCAATATTCGTTGTTGATCTCTTTGTTAGAGAAGGATATTGGTTGTGGGAAGTTTCTGGGTAAATAATATA